ATATATATATATATATATATATATATATATATATATATATATATATATATATATATATATATATATATATATATATATATATAATATATATATATATATATATATATATATATATATATATATATATATATATATATATATATATATATGTTGCAGTTGATTTGAGTATAAGTAATCTCTTGTCTATGCACCAACGTCAACACATATCAACGAAGCTTTCAATATCACACATGATGCTCTGTTACCCTAGCCATTATGAGTCCCCACATTTCATCGGTCCTACAAAGCGCTCACTATCACAGAAGTTCAGTCCTCCATATAATCGTACTCTCATACCACATTGCTATTGACGAGTGTACATAATATATTACAACTCGCATCGAGACGATACGATACGATACGATACACCCCATACCCATACTCACGCCACACTCCGTCTGACGTAGGTGCATAAGGCCCTCAACGCATCCCAGCGCACCGCATCCGCTCTCGAAATTGCACGCAGAGCCAAGGAGTTTGTGGCGCTCACAGGCACACCAATCATCGACAACAACACCTACAAGCTCATGTGGTGGCTGGAACACATTGTCCCGTTCGAGGTCAACACTCGCAATTTCTGGGCTGCTGCGGGGGCTATGGTATGTGTTGATCACTTCGGAAGTGCTTGGTGATGTATTGGTGTCTGTGAAGTATATCTTGTTTTGGCGAGTGTAATTGCTTTTATGTTTAAGTATGAGTGTGCATATAGTGTGTGAGAAGAGTTTGACTTGTCCACCACAGAGATCTTGTGTACCTCATTTGCTTTAAGAATTGCTAATCAACGTCAACAAGCTGTGTTACTGACTGATGACTATAAATACCAAATGAGCGATTTTCTTTTCGAAAACTCCGGTCTCAACTATATGCTCCACGTCAGATCCATTATTCACCATTAAGGTTGGATTAGTAGTAATCGCTAGTGCAAATCCACCTGACACCATATCACATCCGTGTTCGACGTTGTTGGAACACACAGGTCAGCAAACGGATAGCTCTGGGCATACTCACAGAGACGCAACTGATAGAGGGCACCTTCACTACAGCCGAAGGAAACGTATACCACGCCTTAGTCTCCCCGGCACTCGGGGGCATGAATGCCAGCTTCACGGAGAAACACTTCAGACTCGCCATGCAGCTGTGCTACACGGCGGTATCGCGTGACATGGTACGAGAGACGAAGCGGCTGGTGCACAGCGAGAAAGAGAAGGTCATGCTGGTCGCCAAGGACGCTACACACCAGGCGAGGCTGGTTGCTATGCTGACGACCAATGGGAATGGGTCAAATGGTACCCAGAAGGCGATTTTGAGTACTAAGGTGTTCTGTATTACCGCGCAGGCGTCCGTGAATTTCACCCCGCTGACGGTATGTGCTTGAACCCGTAGTTTATAGATTTGACCACTTTTATTTGCATTTATATCGATAGAAGTCCTTATACTTATATACACATGTATATACGTGGGATATATATATATAC